CAGGAATTAAAGAAAGATACACAGGAAGCATATGCTGGACATTTTTTTCAAGCACACACACCCCGGGTTACTGTCATACGGTATGAAAGTGGAGAACAAAAGCAGTCAGAAATGTCAATAAATGTGTAAGAAATGAACAACTAAGGAGAGGAAGAAAAACATTTGAAAGCCAGTACTGTGTAGTAAAAGAGTGGTAAAAACAAAGCAGAAAGAAAGCAATGGCAACAGATGCTACCTCCACTGAGAAGTGATATGAAAACAGCGAGATTGAGCAGAGCAGCGCGGACATGGGTACACGGTGGTTTGCCACACTCCTGCTGCTTTACTGCAACTTTCTCCAGCAAATGTGTGTAAGTGAGGGAGAGAAATGAAAATGTTCCACCTCAAAGCCTTTTTCAATTGTTTCCAATTATTGACAGCAGTGATCTGGAACAAGGGAGAACTCATGGTGTTGAAGGCTCCTAGCACTTTATAAAAGGACAAGGCTAATGTTGTGCACAAAAAAAGCCCTTGGCCCTGGATTGTTGTTAATGTAGGGCTTGTAGGAAGGATGCATGTGTTTTAAGCTGATTTATGGATACATTTTTATTTTTCTACTTTTTACAATAATGTAACAGTTTTCTCTGGATTAGCACAAAGCAGGAGAGCATGTACTGGAGGTAGTATTACTGTTTGCATCACCAACCATGTGATTTGAATGAGTGGGTGAACACAGATGATTATCTCTTAAAAATGAATTCATTATGTGCTATATTGTAGCCTAAAATAACCCCTCATGAATAAGTCCACAGTGCAGTGTTAATGTTAGCCCTGCTTTATATGCAACAGATTCACTTAGAACTGGATGTAAAGCAAAGGGGATGTGTTTGAAGTGAGGCACGGTTCATGCCATTAAAGCAAAAAAAAAAAAAAGCTTAAAAACTGCTCTTGTCTTTTACCTACATACTGGACACACATTTTTCCAATGGAGCAAAGTCATTTTAGAGACGTCGTTTTTGTTCTCCCTCTACGAGACACAACAACACCTGGAAAGGTAAGATAAAGAAAAGTAGCTTTAATTGATTTTTTGTTTGCATGTGAATAAAATGTTGGTTATGTTGTAATGTCGGGACACATCCTGAAATTGTTTAGGTCCTGGGAATTTGGTGGATTTATTTGTGCTTTAGTCTCCATACAAACCGATGGTAGCTGCGTTACTGTGTACAGTATGTGCAAACCCTAACAGCTGCAGTTACATTGCCTTTGCTGCACTGATCCTTGTCGTGTCATGTTTTTTTTTTCTACATTAAAGTACAGTCTGGTTTTATTTGAAAAAGAAAATTTAATTAAAACCTAGCTGAACCACTGAGGGTATTCCATCCTACGTGGGAAGACCTAGTAATTGACCATAAAAACAGAAGTTACTATCTGTGGACATACGCAGTAAAAGTAACTGCCAACATATGTATATTATATTTTTTAAAAAGTGTATATATAGCTTACATAAATTGCCCTCTAAAGATGTACCTTAGGTTATGAAACAGCTCTTAAAATATTATATGTGTTCCTGGCCCCAATGATACTTCAAGTGAGTTTCTTTAAATTTCATTTTTAGCTACAGTTGCTCCTTTTTAAAAAGACCAGGATTATAAACCTCAGGATGTTACATTCACACCTTTAATATGCAATTTGCAAAATCCTGGAAAACCTTTACAAGGGACATATGTTACTTTTAGACCTAGCATTAGACTTTCTTTATTTGTCGGTCAACTTTACGTCGTTGCATTCCTCATCAGAAAGAAATTTCTTTGGTTGTTGTTAAAACATGAATAGAATAAATAGAACAATAGAGTAAATGAAATGCAGCATTTTTTGGAATTCTTTGGAATATACTAAAGGAGATATGTATGCATATTTTTATTGTACATGAATAATATGTAAACAATAATCCAAAGGAGGCTCTGCGATATTACCTTTCAAATGATAATAAGCTATGTTTATGCTATTTACCTTTCAAATGATAATAAGCTATGTCCACATTTAGACTCCAATGTTAAGAAAATAAAGTGCAATTTTTGTTCTATTTTAAAATTTTAGTGATGATCCATTAACATTCAATCGAAATTTGGTACGGCACCGATACAGGCAGATCGATCTTTGATACAAAAAGGTACAGCTGTGTAACTGAATATTTTTTGTGAATCAAACACTTAAGGCTTTCAGAAAGAAAACTACGGGAGCCATCAATGCTGTTTAGCTGATGCTGCAGGACGCTTCTGCTATCTAATTAAACCATCTAAGAGTGCGCTGCTCCATGGCTGTGTTCCGTGGCCATTCTGATACCTAATTTAGCTGTGAGAGGAAATCTCATCTGGAAGAAAGTGTACCGTCTTAAGCTTTTTAATTGCTTTTTTTTAAACCCTCACTGTAATTTATTTGCCTGAATGATACAATTCCATGAGGATTAAAGTTTAAAAAAAAGAAGCTCCTTGACTGCTGGTCAAAAAGAAGTTTTCTCTTTTGCCACTTGAGAGAGCTCTTGCTGCTTTTATTTCTGCCGGCCTCTCTGCTCCCCATTCACCAGAGTCAGCACAGACCATTTGATCCTGCAGAACTCCCATTTTCCACAGGGTAATAAGAGTTAAAGAGTGAGGGCTAGGCTATCACGTTCACGGTCACACGAAAAAGCCACCGATTTTCTGCAGAAGCCGTGCGTCCCCCATGGCTTCCCTAAAGCGCAGAGGTAGAGAAGCAATTGTGTGAGGATTATCAGTCTCCTATTACTGCAAATGTCACTGCATCAGCACCACTCAACCTGATTATGTCAATGGGGAAACACACTGGCCATGTTTACTGACTACAGACCAGCAGCCCAGAAGATGGGATCGGCCTCTGTTGTGGGCCAAAAGGGAAATAAAGATATAATCAAAAAAAAAAGAAAAGAAAAAAAAAACCACTGACCCTCAAGTGGCGGCGCTGCTGTGAAGTCTAATGACAACATAAAGCAGTGAACACACCGGGTATATTTCCTTCAAGCAATTACAAGGACAAAAGACAGATTCAATCTGACTGCAACAGCAACATAAAACAAATTAAGTGAGTGAGGCAGCAGTTTCAGTTTGAGACGTTTAATGGATGGACTTGTCTCCACATTAAAGCTCCGGCTGGAATTCTCTACAAACAAACTAGAGATGATTTCTAACTTCAGTAAATGTCCTAAGAACAAATGGGAAATTAAACATAAAGTAATAAAACTAATAGAATTGAACAAAAACAAAACAAAGGTTCATTATTCTTTCTTTGCGCTTTGTTGTTTGGAACAAGAGATGTACCTGAGTGTCATCATAAGACTCCGAGGCTTTACTCTGACATCAAAGCTTTACCCTTTAATCCCGCAGAGGTAAACAGAACGTGTGTCAACAGCCAGCCTGTTACTGATGACATCAATGAGTGCAGTGTGTGGGCATCTTTATCAGGATTAATACACAATAATATACTCTATGGAGGGACATGGAATCATTGCAGCTGTGCTGGAAGTCGACATAAAAACAAAAAACATTTATTCCTGGTTTGCACCAGTTCATTTGGCTGCAGCAGCGTAGCTTCTGCCTGGCTATTCATATTTGCCATGACCATTGATTTGCATGTGATGATTAATGTTTTTTTTATGTCTAGTACTAAGATCTCTGATAACATCATGACATAAAGCTAGTAATTTATTCTTCATATACTTTGTTTTGAAACTTTAATCAATGAAAAAAAAAAACATTAGTTATTCCTTTTTTATATTTTTTAATTTACATATATGAATGGAATTAGCCAGACACTCAAATAAAATGAAATACAATTTTCATCTAACATGAGTATTTGATTGATTCTGGAGGAGAAGGTTTGATGCCCAGTGACGGTGTTGTTGAATGGAGCTTGCATGTTTTGTACTTCAACAGTCATTTGTCTCCCTTTGTTCCTGCAATAGACCTGTCCAGAGTTTGTCCTATGAATACTGGAATTGGCCTCAGCCGGTATAATCCTGAAAAAAGGATTAGACCGGTGGTTCCATAACTTCTGCAATGGCCCCTTTGAAGGGAGAAATCTGCTCAGTTCCTTCTTATAGCCTAAACCAGGGGTGTCCACACTTTTATGGTTTGGAAGCCACTATTCAAATGACCAGGCTACAATGATCTACCTACATTACAAACGTTACTATTGTTTACTGAACAGTTTTATTTACATTATATGTTGGATAGTTTGATTAAATACATGCTGTG